AAGCTGAGGAAGGCCAGTGAGTCTCATAAAATCACCTGTGGGTGATGCCCTGCTCATTGTCGAGTGAGGGTGAGGAGCTGAGGAACCCGTCCTTGGGGGACGGGTGGGGAACGTGGCTTGGGGTGGAGCCCAAGCTGAATGCAGAGTTTGTATCCAAGGATCCCCGACCCATGTGCTTGTGCAGTGGGTTGGCCTGAGTGCAGGGGTCTGCGAGTTGCATTGGTGGCTATGAAAGCTGAATGTTGGAGCCACTGCAGACAGAAACCCTGAGGGTTGGCGATTACCCCCAACAGTATAGAATTGCCAATCCCAGAGTGAATGCATCCTGGGGGTGAATGCTGTGTGTGGCTTGTAGCTGAGACTACAGCCAGAGAAGGCCAGGAAGCCTGACGACTCCTGGTGTTACAGTAGGTGCCTTGAGTGGTTCCCCTCTTTCATATGAGCAGTGCCTTCGGCAGCAGATTTGGTGGCTCATCTGCTGGTACCAATAATTGTCTTTTTCCACTAGGTTGGGGCCCTGCCTGGACTTATTTGTGTTCTGTTGTTTTTGTTATATTGTGATGTATTTGCTTTTGTGGGCTATGGCTGCATTGTTTATGTTTGCTAAGAAAATTGTATATATGAAGACTATATGGCAGAAAACCCTGAGGTGGTGGACTGTAGGGTAAGGAAAAATGTCAGGCTTTTCTGCCCTCCCGCCGTCAGGATAGATGATGGATCCTTGTGGTCCTGAACGCATGCATGATGACAAGCACATGGAGTAGGATGTGGGCATAGGTGGATGAGATTCACCTGGGCTAAGACTGGGCTTTTAAGGACGGCGTCATGAGGACGCCAGTAGAAGCCGAGAATGAACAGAAGCTGAGAGAGAAGCAGAGAATGCCGGAGAGCCCAGATAGAGTGAAGACTTGCTGGGGGCTGGGAGGCCTGCCAGCCTCCCGGCCCCCCAGCACACCTGCCTGCCATGTACCTGGTAATCCCAATAGAAGACCTGCAAAAACCACTGAGGACTCTGATTCCTCCTTTATCCGGTCTGTTGGATCATAGAAAACCTGCTCCGTGTCATTCCTGCCCTTTACAGCCACAAAGCAACAAAAGAGCACCCTCCACAGATGGCAAACAGCTTCAAGACAGGGGGCAGGGAAATGGTTAGTAGGACTACAAAATTAGTTCTCAGTCCATCTTCCAAAGTTGTAAAGTCAAAGTCTTCTATGAGACAAAACCTCAGTACAGAGAGCTCCAGCACTGCTTTTCAGGATAAGATAAACCTGGTCGGCCCAAATAAATGCCCTTCTCAATTGACTCATTACCTAGAACGTGAAGTTTGCGTGCCAGTGTGAATAGAGACAGGAGAGAGGAGGTACAAAGTATGGGCTATTTACAATTTACCGAGTGTACTAGCATCTTAAAAAAATGACATTGTAGAAGATTAATATTCCATTTTTATAGGCCACGCTTTTGTCTTTTCTGGGGGTTATTCATATTAAACCAAATCAATCAAATGTCAGATCCCTTCTGACATTTGAGTACTTAAGCTCAAAAGATTCTTATTAAAGTGTAAAGATCTTAAAACAGAAGCTGCAGCACTTTTAGGGCCACACATTGGTAGCAATGGCGGTTGGGGGAGGGGCGAGTAGTTTCCTTCCACTCAGTTCCTCATTATGACTGTCCTTTGCAGTTTTCTCAATCATATTTTAAACAGTTTGAAGATACATTGATGTGCCTAGTTCTTTTTCCATTAAATTTGTGGAACAAAGTCACAGCTGGGGATTGTTGGAAAGATGATAGGGCTTTAGAAGAAAAACAAGTGCTGGTGGAAGGATAATGTGCTACAGCCTTTTCCTTTGCAGTATTTCAGCTCTCAAGTGTGAAATAATTGCAGCAAACCTCATTTGAGGAAGAGGAAAGTGATGAAAGCAGATATTTTAATTCAAATACGTGGCATTTCCTCCCCTGGGAGCTTTTAAGAGCACACACCTCTACAACAGATGGCTTAAGGAGCAAATAGATCTGCCTGCTATAGGAATGTGGCTAGGGCAGGCTTCTTAAGACCTCGTGGTAACCCATAATCCAAGAAGCCAATGATGGTAGGACAGGCATCCTCTCCAACCCCTTGTTAAAACACTGTAACAGACACAAAAAGTGAAAATCTCGGATGGTTTCACTTTCAATAAAATGATTCATATCAGTCCTGAATGTTGTTTCAGGGGAAATAACTTCAGCTTTTCTTTGGATCTCTAAGTTAGATCCAAACTTGGATGATACAATTTAAAGTTTCAGAACAGCAGGAGCCCAAAGGCTGGGAGCCGAGTTTAACTAATGCAACACCGCCACCTAGAGGTCAAGTCCTAAGGAACTGAACGCTACTGCCAAATCAGGTGGCAAGCTGAAAGCTCCTGACCAGACCAGAAAAGCGCTCTTCCCTTCACATGAAGGCTACGAGAGACAGTTTAAACGAACAAGGGTTTTCCCTCAACTTACAGAATATTGTGGGGGCAAAGACAGGGTTGCAAAGTATGCCTCCCCCATCACTACCTACAAGAACAGGTGCTGAGGAAGTCCTCAAGAAACAGAGAACAGAGATCGGCTCGTGGCAAAGTGGCAGTGGTGGGAGCAGAGGCAGGAAAAATGGGCTGTGGAGGAAGATTGAAGCTGAGTTTATTAAGATGAATAGGATTTCTACAGACCAAGGGAAGCAAATTCCAGACCAATGCAGCAGCAAGAGCTACAAGCACATTTATGAAATGCACAAGTTTTATTCTATTTGCAACCGGTCTACAGAAGGCAGTATTAAGACATTTGGGAAATAGTGTAAAAATCCTATTTCTATTCCCAATGAAAAAGTCTCAGTAAAGTATCCTTCAGTGTATTTATTACATGCAGATTGAATAGCTATTTCTTAAGGGGGCAAATAAACTTAGGAACATGGGATATAAATCAAAGTAAACAGGTTTCCTTATTGCAGGTCATCTCAGAGACTAATATTTGACTACATAGTAAATCTCTGAGATCAAAAAATGTTTACAAAATGAAATTATAGAAATATTTCTCTTCAAAACACTCCATGAGCAAACCCTCCTCCCTACTAAGGAAGCAAGGTCATGTGGTGGTTTAAGGATGCAGATTCTAGAATTGATCTGCATGGATGGGTTCCAATTCTAGTTCCACCAATCACAACTGAGCCTCTCTATACCTCAGCTTCCCCATCTGCAATAGGAACCTATCTGCCTCTCAAGGTACCAGAAAGAATGCATGAGCTAAAACATACTAACCACCTAAAATAATTAGTAGTACTTGCCACCCCTTCCCGCCCCTCCTGGAAGCTCTTTAGATCCTCAGTCTTTCAATTCTATAGGAGCAGTTCAGAGTAGAGGCTATTTACAGAAATATGCTATGACCACCTGCTGCCCACACTCCCTTTAGAGACTGTGGCCCTTTGGGATTTCTAAGGGAAAACCAGGGGAGTGTTTGAAGTCACTTTACTTGATTAAATGAAAAAAAGATTATTCACTAATAATTTCTTTTGAGTAATTGGAAGGGCTTTCAGCACTTGCAAAACAACATGGCAAATAGTCTTACCAAAGTTCTCAAGTCACACACATTGCTTTCTCCAACTACAAAACTTTAACATCATAATTCCATCTGTAGTCATGCTTCTCCCTGTAAGCACAGACTCAAACTATAGAAAGCAATTTGCAATAGCATTCTAGATTGGAACATTATTACATGTCCTCCTGCTGTGTGTGTATATACATGTGCGTGTGTGTGTATGCGTGACTGTAAGGATGTGTGAGTGGGAGAGGTTAAACAGCTAAAACACTGTTGCAAAAGATTTTAAAGGTGTTTTGTTATTTAACCATCTGTCAATTCTCTCCAAGGAAACCTGGCAGATAAATGTCCATCAGAATGCAAAATATTTCAGGCAAATTCCTAACTTCCATGTGATATCCTTTCTTGGGAGTTGTGTCCTTCCCTCGCTTTATTTGTTTCACCATTTTTCACTTTTTCTCCTTAATCATTCCCTAAATTTTTAATTTCCTGTAGTAGGAAAAAAGCTTCTTGGGCACCTAAGTGCCCAAGTACACTCACCTTGAGGCATTATCTCCATTTAACCAATGGGAGCCTGAGGCTGGCAATAGAGGCAGGCAGCACTGGCGGCGGGGGGGGGGGGGGGGGGGGGGGGGGGGGGGGGGGGGGTGGGGGGGCGGGGCCAAACCAGGAGCATAGCCCCACCCCCACCCCATCACTAAACCTATGAGTAGGTTGGCCACCCAAGGTTTAGCCCCACGCAGGTCCGGTTTACACCTAATGCTCTGGCATGAGTGGCACCCCTTCCACTGTCAACAGTATTTGGCATTTAAGTTACACAGTTATTCTGCGTATAAGCTTTTCCTCCTCTGGACTTGTTTCCATAATTAGAAAAAGATAACAGTATTAGACAGCATTTTAAAAGTTTTTTTTTTTCCATCTTTTTTTGAGATTTCCAGTTCAGAGTTTTAAAATTGTATTTCTGAAATAGCTCAATTATGAAATTAAAGCTATTTCAACCTCTAATGTCCCTTCTATAAATTAGTGTATATTCACCCCAAATTAGACCCAACCTAACCACATGATACTGACATTTAATGGTCAATAATGAGCAACACAAAAATTAGAAGAGCTGAACAAACTGGAATAAAATTTTCACCTGGTTCTTCCTTGCTCATGTCTTTATCCTATCTGAGGCATGGATATAACACATACCAAGAGCTGGATACTCCCCAGCCATGTGTGAGATTTGTTGGTATGAATCACCAAAACCAAAAACTAACTTTCACCTAGGCACAGACCACCTATTCTGAGCATAAGGAATGTCTGGACACAAGGCATAAAATTCCTGCATCAGGAAAGACTCCGATGTCCTCAAACACAGGTATGTTGGCCACATGAGGCAGCAAAATAAAATGGATAGAATGATAAAGTAGGACAACGTAATGTTCCATCACCCCACCCTTGCATACCTTCAGCAAATAAAAACTGCTTTTGGAGTAAATACATTTATTGATACCCATTTTATATAGTTCAATGAAATAATCTATAAATATAAAAGCATTTTTCTTTTGGATATCACCATGGTCCATGTAAATACTCAACAGTCAGAATCATCGGCAGGAAGCACTCCAAGTCACACTGTTAGGTTTACAGACCTGAACACATGTATCCCATGAAACAGTGGCACTTATGTACTGAAGTGGTCCAGTGGCTTTGGAATATATGACTAGTAGGCATGTGGAGTAAAAATAAGTTTAAATCAACGGAGAGGGTATCAACAATCAACAAAGAGAAACAACTGTGAATTAACATAGTAGGCAAAGAAAGTACCACAGTTGACACTCGGTGTCAGAATACTGGAGAAGACGCATGTTTAACGACACATGTTGTGGCACCATGTGCTCTCTCCAACTCCAAGTGGACAGTCCACCAGTGCCTTAGGGTCATCCATGGTCAACGAAACGGCAGTTCTTAAAGAATAGCTCAGAATGAAAGGTATGTAGCGGCTGGTATCAGGTGTAACGAAAAGTGGGTTAAGTATTTCAATGACATAATGAGTTTCTCCCATGGAAGGAAGATCTTGAGGACAACAATTTTTTTTTTAATTCCCTTTGTTACATGGATCATGATCATTTACCTAATGCAGGAGAAAGAACCCAGAACACAGGTGCAAAATTTTTCTTCTGTTTTAAAGTTTCTTCCTCTATACTTCAAGGGAACTAGTGCAGCAGCCACTGTTGACCTTGCTCTTGACCTAATGCAGCATAAAACCTTCCCATGTCTTCAGTAACAAATACAGGAATATCCTGTGCTGCAGTCATACCAGGTGTCTTCTGAGTTAGCAAGCATATGCATTTAAAGGTCTCAGGTGTGCAATGTCCAAAAGTGAAATCTTAGAGGCAGTGTTAGAACTTAAGCAAGGCAGAATTTTTAGAGACTACTCAAATGAAAACCTAAGGGAAGCATAAAAAAATCAGTCCTTTCTATTATTTCCATCTGATATTAATGGCAACATTCCCTGGTAAGGATGGGCAAGAGGTGTTATGTCCAGGTCCAAAATATCCCAATTACTTAAAGTAGGACCCCAAAGAGGAGAAAGACACGCTTGAGTTCTGAGATCTCTAGAATTCTTTTTTGCCATTTTTTGAAAAAGCAATAGTTTCAGATGCACACCACTGCTTGAAGGGGTTTTCATCCGAATGAGAAACTCTACCCCTTGTCTCTAGTGGGACAGGCACCAGACTCCCACAAGTGACAACTCCTATGTCCTGTAGCATGTGGTATCTGACCCTGGAGTGGAGAGTGAGCTGACACAGAGCCCCAGCCACTGGGATTCAGGCTAGATGGCATTTCTCGGTGTGCCGTTGTGTGTCAGCGCTTTCAGGCTAGGGGCACTGCTCTGGTGACCACAGCTCCTGTGAGAAGTCACGCCCACCTCAAAAACCTCATGGATAGCTTTCCGGAAACAGTGGAAGTTGTAGTCTATTAAACCTGCAAGAGATAAAAAGATGAGGTTGCTAAATGTCAACTGTGAAATTATCTGCTTGAAAACATCTGGTTAACAGAAAAAAAAAAAAATCGATAGGTAAACACAAACACAAACACACACATACTAACCCCCAAATGAATTCTCCAAGTTGGAAACATAATAAAGCTATACTCAAACTGTTAATAACTAGTTACCCCTGGGTTCTGGGAGTGGACAGGGTAAAAATATAGCTATCAGGGAGGTGAATTTGCTAAAAGAATATAATAATAAAATCTAAAGTCAAAGTAAAACACTTTTGAAATATTAAGATTTTCCTTCCTCAAGTTCTTGGTGCAGCCACTAAAGGAAACAACTGGAGCAATAGTTTGGCAACTGCTTGGGTCTGGGAGGACACATGAGAGAGGCTCAGGCAGAGCCCGAGGCAGCCTGTGCCCTCTTCTCAGGCAGGGCAGATCCTCCTCCATCTGTTTTGTGAGCTGGCTTCCATGTAAGATTTTGAATGAACAAAAAGGGCTCTACTTTTTTTTTTAAGATTTATTTATTTATACAAGAACTGGGGTACATGCCAGAAGCACTGGAGGATAAGAGAATTCACCAGAGACAGAGTGGGAAGCAGAACAGGGAGATGACTGAAAACACTGCTGAGGGGAGCAGTGGGCGCAACAGTAGAAGTCTGCCGCGCCATGTGGGTAGCTCCCTGGCTGGCCAGGAATCAAGCCTGCGCTACAGAGGCTGCAGACAGCTTCACAGAGCTGCACTCAACCCACTGCGCCACCAGGGAGGCCCAGGGCTCTGCTTTGTAACAGAAATGGCTAATCACCTACTGAAGATCCATTTTTTCCATTCTTCCTCAAAAAGAGAGCCACAATCACATTACATTCCCAGTCTACCAAGCAGTTAGGATGACCACATAACCAATTCCAGCCACTGGGATAAGTGGAAATGTGTGAGATTTCTGTGAAAGTTCCTTAAAAGGAAGAAGAGTTCATCTTTAATGCCCTGATTATGGGTAAGATGGCTGGGGCTGGAGAACCCATTATAAACCATGAGGTGACCCTGAGACTAGAAGTCTGTATAAGAAAGAGAAGTGTCTATGTGTTCAAGGATCACTGGGCCATAAGACACTAACTTGTAAGAAATAAATCAAAACAATCTGGTGTCAAATTAACGACAAATGAGAAAGAAGTCCAAAAGAGGGGAGAATGAGGTCCAGGAAAAAAACAGTCAATGAAAGTTTCAGCGATGAGGCAGAACTTTGGGGAAACTGACAAGATTTAATTAGGCAGAAAAAGAGGAGCAAAACTACAAGCAAACAGCAGGGAGTTGCAATGAGGACATAGCACTAGTGGAAAACAAAAAGAAACTGGCCTCCCTGGAGAGAGAGTAAAAGATTCTGGGTAGGAAGTACTGGGAACCAAATCTGAGTAAATTGGATAGTCATATTAAGGAGGTTGTGAAGACTAAGGAGGAGAAGCAACATAAAAGAAAAGCTTGGTAAGTTTACACATTAAATTTGACTTCTGTGCTAACAATGAAAGAAAGCTGATAACCAGCGAAACTGGGACACTCCCAAATATTTGATATTATGGTATTTTTATTACTTATTTTATATTTATTAATAATACCATTATGTTTAAAAAAGAGCACAGCACTATCTTAGAGACACCTACTAAAATTTGTGTAGAAAATTATTTGCTGTCAGGGATTCACTTCAAAATAAACCAGCAGACCAGTAAGGAAAAAGGTATATAACAAGACTAACCATGATACTTATGAATGTTGAATCTAAGTGACAGATGATAAATGAGTTCATTGTATCGTTTTCTCTACTTTTTCATGTTTGACAGTTCCCACAACAAAATAACAACTTAGCTGGGAGGAGTATATTCAGGAAACAAGATTGCCCCTGTATTGATGACTGCTGAAGCAGAAAAATGGGCATATACCTGAATTCATTATATTTTTATGCGTATTTTTAAATTTCCACAACCAAAACCTTTAAAAATGTTTCAAGATTAGAATGGAAAAAATAAAACCACACACACAAGAGTACAATAATCAGTACAAAAAAGGTAATGAAACAGGTAACTAACCAAAGAAGAAACCTCACCAGATATTAAAAAGGTACTTGCCATGAAAAAGATGTTGCTCTAACTAGTAATTAAAGTAAAAATTAGAACCAAATGAGATGCCACTCAAACCTATCAGACAGACAATAATTAAAGTGCTCTAACAACATCGAGCACTGTCAAGGACATGAAGTGACAAGAATTGCCAAGGGTGAAATGGTAATGTCCAGTGAAGCTCCATAAATTCAACTCCTAAATACATACGCTGGAGAAGTTCTCCCTATGTGCAATGGCAAAACTGTTCATAAGCATCTGTTGCAAAACTATTTATAATCTTAGAAACGATCTAAATGTCCAGAAACAAACAAAAAAAAAAATTGCAGTAGAGTCAACCAAAAGACTACCATGTGTAAGTGAAAATGAATTCACCAGGGCTATGTGACAATATGGCTAAATCACAAAAACAACCTTGAATTAAAAGAAGTAAGTTGCAGAAGACTACTAACATGTTTATATCACTTACACAAAGATATAGAATATTCTATTTTGTTTAAGGACAGACATCAAGTAAAAGAATAAATCATGCATGGGAAACATACAGCGCTACATTCAACATAACACATAAAGGAGAAGTTTCAACTAAGAAATACACAGAAACAAAGATCTTTAAATCAAAAGTGAATACCCACATTTTTTATTTTACCAAAAAAATTTTGTTTATCAGAAATATTTCCTTATTATTAGCATTAATGAAGTATTAATGCATTTGGCATTAATACTAAAATCAACATAGGAGTCTGCCTTTGAATAAAATAAGATACACACTGAGCCCTCAATGTCTCTGTTGAAGCACTAATAATTTCCAATTGCAAGTTATTGCAGCTTCACAGACCTGGAGGATGTGGACCTGGACTGGAGTAATCCAGAGTGAAAAATGGAAAGAAACCCAAGGAACAAATAAGAGTTGATAAATGTTCAATGCAAAAAACTAGAAAAAGAACAGAATGCCCTCTGAGGGCCCCCTCAGCAAAAATACCACATGATTACCTGACTACCAGAAAAGTGTCATAACTAGTAACAGGAGTAGGCTAGCCAGGAAGGACATGAAACAAAGGAAGAAATAGTCATCAGTTTTTGCTTTTGGTTTTTTTTTAAAGATTTATTTATTTATACAAGCACAGGGTGAGAAGCTCGGGAGGGTGAGAGAATTCACCAGAGCCAGAGCGGGGAGCAGAACAGGGAGAATGACAGAAATACACTGCTGAGGGGAGCAGCGGGCGCAACAGGAGAGGTCTGTGCACCATGTGGAACCCTCGCCGGCGGCCAGGGATTGAACTGGCGCTGCAGAGGCTGCAGGCAGCTTTGCAGCCCAGCACTCAACCACTGCGTCGCCGGGAAGGCCCAATAGTCATTAGTTTTTGACACCACTGACAAGATAACAATATAAGATTTCAGTGAAGATGTCTTACTAGCACTCCAGTGTGGGATTGGAACATGGGCCCAAGTCAGAGCTGGAGATAAGAATTTTTCAGTCAATCACATAGAGAAAATTAACTGAAGCCATGGACTGGATGAGCTGACCAGAGAATAAATGAAGTGAGCAGAAAGACCTGGCCCTGAAGAATGTTCAAAACTGAGAAAAAGTCAAAACAAATAAAGGAGGTGGTCAGAGAAACAAATGCTTCAAGTAACCTGAAGTTCAGCTTCAGGGAAGCAAACTGAGGCTTCAAAAGAGGAGGGACTGACAGGGTCACATGGCTCAGAAGCCTGAAGAGCTACAGTGTGTACAGGCCACTAAATGCAGCAAAGGGGCCTCTCTGGTGACGCAAGGGGTTAAGACGCAACCCATGAAGCTATCCACAGCCACTGCAGCACAAATTCAATCCCCCGGACCGGCCAGGGAGCAACACACATGACGCATCAGACTTCTCCTGATGCCCGCTGCTCCCCTTAACAGTGTACTTCGGTCAATCTGCCTGTTCTGTTCCCACTCTGTCTCTAGTGAATCCTCTCAGCCCACGCACCTCTGGCCTGTACCCCAGTTCTTCTATGCATAAATAAATAAATCTTAAAATTGTATATAAAAAATACAAAATAAAATAAATGCAGCAAAGGAAGGTGATCTGGTCACCTCTCAAAAATCAGTTGGTTCAGATGGAAGCCAAACTGCAGATACTCAGGTAAAGAAAAGGATCAGAAATAAGAGGTTGCAATAAAAAGGAGACTATCTGGACTATTTATAGAAGGGACAAAAGTAGTTTGACCTGGTAATTGTTTAACATTGCAATATTATTTTCTTTTTTCAGAACCTAAGAAATTATGACAAAGAACTTGACATAAAAACAGCTTTTTAAAATCCCATTACCTTTTCGTTCAAAACTTTCTTCCCTAAGAATGCAGACCAGAGCTAAAAATTTAGTCACTTCTTTTAAGTAAAGGACAGTTGTATTATTCAGCTTGATAATTGCCATAGATTCTTTGTCATAAGCACTTCCACTTCCATCTTCCTTCAATCTGTTTTAAAAGAAAGTATTTTTCATTATAGGTTTCACAACTGGCTATTTTGTCCCACTTAATTTGCATAATGACAAGTCTTTCTACCCATTTTTTTGAGTATCTTTTGAGAAAAAATAATACTGGCTTAAATATATTGGAACAGAAGTTGTCAGTTAGGTACAGATACAAGGTTCCTAGACTTTGGTAGAATACTGCATGCAATCACACCTTCATCTTGTTTTCTTAGGATGCACCAAAGGTTTCTAATCTTTCCTCATATTAATCTTTACTGACAGAGTCTGCAAATAAAAGTCCTAAAATATAAAAACTACTATTAGTCAAAAAGGAGCAAGTATAAAAGCTAAAATAAATACAATCAAAGATACTGTGGAATCCTGATGCTTACAGTGAGCCTTACATGGTCTTAAAGCTATTTCATTTATTAAATTCAAATTGTCAGAATTATACGTAGTCCCCCCTCAAAAAAAGTAAATCAAGATTCAGGTAAGAAGCAACTTAAGTTATAATAAAGCAAATTACAGCCTAGACTGTGTTAAGAGTGACGATAATGGACATTTTTCTCTCTTTATAATGTACTTTATAATGTGTATTTCACAATGTACCTTACACTGGGGGGAAAAAAAAAAAAAAACTTTACAACTACATCTGATTTCTTTTAAAAAAAATTGGTTTATAAAATTTTGATTTGCTTTAAAGAAAAAAACATTATTTCATCCATTTTTAAAATTAGGAACATGAAACTTTACTGATTAATAGACATCTCATTTTCATTACAGAAAGAACTGAAAAAAAGGAGCACATGTGATCACAAAGTGAAAAATAGACTTGACTGGAAGACGAGATAGGTAAAAAAATGTTAAGACAAATGCATTCTCCTACTCAGAGACAGCTGGAGAAAGACACTGACAAATTAGGCACCAAGACCCAGAAGAGTGGTAGGGACAATGACATGAAAAAGGAGTTTAGACTAGGTGGAGCAGAGCAGGAGAACAGATAAAGGACTCAGGTATTAGAACACTTCAGAGTGTTCTAAGGGAGCATCAGAGTGCCCCGAGGTTGAGGGTATTGATAAATAATCAGGGCCACTGGAAGCATTAGAGATTACCAATTTTTGAAATACAAGTAATTCCTCAAGGTTTTCACTCACCTGGGCTATTCTACAAAATCTTTGCCGGTTTTTATAAATTTCTGAATTTATATAAAAGGTTTACATTTTAGAGATTTTGGAAACTTAAATGTATGGATCAAATTTTTATATGTGTAAATCCCTATGACATCTCAAATTCTAAGTTCCTTGTTTCTTAGCTCTTTGAAATATTAAGGAATCCCTCATTCCACAAAGCTTGAGGTCAACTTAGGAACCAGTACTTCAGGAAAATTTTAAATAAATTACTCTAATTTTCTGATCTAGCTAAATCCCAGAAATGAGAAGACACAGTGCAAATACCCCAAGTGACAAGGAGAAACTTTCAGTAATAATTAACTCTGGCACTAGTCACTCTTTTTCAACTGCTTTTATCCATCAATGTGAAGGAATAAGACTGAGAAGTTCACTGACAGAAATCATGGCCCAAGTAGAAGCACTGTGGTCAGAGCCAATTCCATTTCATACAGTACTTGCTAAGGTCTCACAAGTTAAACCCCTGACCAAAAAAAACTGGTAGTCTGAGATCTTGCAGAAATATGTATGACTTACCCATATATACAAGATACATCAATTACAACATCAATCATGTCACAGCAAAGTTCATAAGATTGCATATCCACAGGAGAACTGTCTGTTGCAATGTAGATTTTGCTGACAACATCAAAGAGAAATGCTTTTTCAATACCTGAATTCTTAGAAAAACAAAATTGAGGAAGTGTTTATTTTCTTTTTTAAGAATCAGAGTTTATAACAATCAAAGATCTTTAAGTACTAACATACCAGGAAGTTTTCATTATATAACTCAATACAAAAATAAATAAATAAATAACACCTAGCTAAGAGAACTTGTAATCCAAAGAGTAAAAGTGGAGTTACTGTTCTGATTTACTGACATAACTGTACTAGTAAATTCAGTTTTTCCTCCTCTTTACTTAAATGATTTTAAAGCACCACCAAAAACAATCCTTCAGAGATCAAGCCATGCTACATTTTCAATAATCCTTTCTTATTAAAATAATCAGTCTCTAATTGGAATGATCACTACACACTGAATCCTTCAAATGATGCTTGGAAAATATGACTGCTAAGTTTACTGGCAGAAGATCTTTTTTCACTAAGCTGAGTCCTCATAATAAGAATTGGAAACATGATACTCAGACTACACTTAGCAAAGAAAAACATAAATTTTTCAACATGACCTCCAATAAAACAGAGACTGAATTAAATTCACAAAACTCAGTCTTTTCCAATTACGAATCTTCCTTCAGGAAACAGAGATCATGAAAATATTAATTAAAAAAGCGCAAGATAATTTTTCATCATATCATTGTAATACAAAAAGGTGAGTACTAAGGGAAGAATTCAGAAAATAATAACTCAAGCCATTTTTTAATGTTTGTAATATTCCTTTACATATTAAATGTGTCATTAGTCTTTAAGCTCAATTCAGACTAATTCAAAACACTTTAGAATTTGATAACACAAATACATTCAACAAATGGAATCAGAAACAAAAATGAATTTAATAGCTCACTTACTGATATAAAGATATTTAATAGGTTTTCCAAGGTCGGCAGTTGTGGAATGAGTTTCTGTACCACCTTACTAAAGGCTTCAAATATTGAATGGTCATAGATACTAGTCAAATAAAAGCTGAAAAACAACATGGTTTGATTAATTTGAGAAATAAGTTCAGTGACAAATTATAATACATAAAATTTTAAGTTTCCTAATATTTGATTTCAGTCAGTTCAAATAAAACCTTTTTATTTTGCCCATTATCCAATCATTCAAGATGACAAATGCAGTTTCTCCACCTGATTTGTTGCTATCTATCCCCCTAGAGCATTTACAGAGGACAACTGAGGTAGTTCCCAGGAAAGCATCTGCAGATACAGAAACTTGAATATGCACTTAAAATTTGCAATCTGATCCAAAGACCTTGGTTTCTTAAGTTCAAAACTTACAAAAACAAAACAAAGCTCAGAGGAAATAAGAGACAATCATTACATGAGAACCTATTTCAGGTCTCTACCTAAGATATCACCTCCTCAGAAACTTCTTTCTCCTTAAATACCTAAAATACTTACATAAAATAGTACCCCTGGACCCACTGCTTTCTACCACATTCCTCTATTTTTCTTCATAGCACTAATAAGTACTTAAAGTTACATTATATATTTATTTGTAGGTGCTTCTGAACTGTCTCAGTCAACATAATGTAAGCATCATGCAGACAGACTTTGTCAGTATTGCTTGTAAGTGTAAGCCCACTGGCCTGAACAAGGCTCATAAATTATTTGCTGAATAAACCAACATATTCAACTGGTGCTTGGAATTTATGCGAATAACATATTCAGGAGGATGGGAGCTGAGGTCTTACAGAGAATGGAATACAGTAGAGAAGTAACAAAACACAGACAAGCCTTTAACAATTTAAATAGTATCGAAAATTTCATCTGCTTTTCCCCTCAGGGAGTATAGCTTCATTACATAATTGTAGTCATAAAACTTACAAGTATATATTATAAAGTCAGAAACACAGAACTGTATATGTCACACTTTACATGTAGCTTAAATATATTTTCAAGGAACCCAAGAACCTAACCCTTTGCAAAATGGGACTCTAGAAGTCAGAGCACAGGGACAGGTGAGGCCATGAGAACTCCCTCACAGGCATTAAGAGAAGGGACTATTTTAATGTCTCTCTTAGGGAAAAAAGTTAGCTATGTAAGAAGGTTGATGGCAACAAGGAGAACCTGCAAGGCACAGGACATTTCAGTAAGCTGAGTGTCTGAAAACTGGAACTCAAGTAGAACTTCATCCAGAGGTCTGCTAGTAAGTAATAAAAAGTTTGAAGCAAAATTCTACTGATAAAAAGACAAAAAAGAAAAATTCCATTAAGGTTAACAAGGCCTAGGCCGCCATAAAAACTGGGGGGGAGGGTTGATGTGCACCGTTGGGGCAGATGCCTTAAAAAGGGACAAAGACGTGGTATAAAGAGGATCAGAAGAGTCCCATGAGCAATAGGGAATACAGGGTAATCGTGGTTTAAAATCCAGTAACATGGGGAAAGGAAGGACTAGAATCAAAATAAGGGAAGGGTGGGGGGGGTGCAACTGTATGGGGAATATAACCAAAATGAAAATGCATACATTGTGCAAAGATGAAAAAAGATGTAAGAATTATATAAAATAAAATATTTAAATAAATTAAATTAAATTAAAAATAAATAAATAAATAAAATCCAGTAACGATAGCAGATTCCCAGAAGACAAGACTGAGGAATTTTATGGGGAAGCACCTTCTCTGTCTCTTACAAATATTGCTGAATTTCTTTGAAGTATGAGTTACTTACAAATATGTCAAACTTTTAACTAAAGCAAACTAGAAGTCAATGAGACTTCTACATGGTTTCTTAGAATAACTGAAAGATCTGAATGCCTAATACCAGAGATGAATGGAATACCAGAGACCAGAGTTAGCATGGGGGTTGGTTTGAGCCTACAGGGAAGTCACTATATCAGAACAGGGATAAGGAAATAACTACACTTGTGTGTCTCTCTCTGCTTCCCCTTTAAACTGTTTATATCAAGAGAACATTTTCTTGGGTACTTTTTATTACTCATTTCTACCTACACCACACACACCACACACACACACATACACACACTCTCTCTTTCTCGCGCTCTCTATAGGAAATACTCCCAATATACTTTTAGAATGCAAGTACAAAAATCATCCATTCTATCAAGTAGGTTTGTTTTTTTTTTTTTTTAATTTTTATTTATTTATTTATTTACACAAGTGCCAGGGTCCAGGCCAGATTCACAGGAAGGTGAGAAGATTCTCCAGAGACAGAGCAGGGAACGAAACAGGCAGACTGACTGAAATACAATGCTGAGGGGAGCAGTGGGCGCAACAGGAGAGGTCTGCAGCGCCATGTGGGATGGTCGCCAGCCAGCCAGGATCAAACCGGTGCTGCAGAGGCTTCGGACAGCTTCACAGCGCTGAGCTCAACCGCCTGCACCACCAGGGGAGGCCCTCTAGTAGGTACTCTTTAATAAAAATTTCTTAATGAGGGCCTCCCTGGTGGCACAAGGGGTTAGGCACTGCACTATGAAGCAATCAGCAGCCTCTGCAGCACAAGTTCGATCCCCAGCAGGCCTGGGAGCAACCCACATGGCACAACAGACTTCTCCTGTCTCGCCCGCTGCTCCCCTCAGCAGTGTGTTTCTGTCAGTCTGCCTGTTCTGTTCCCCACTCTGTCTCTGGTGAATCCTCTTCCCACCCCCCCCCCCGCATCTCTGGCCTGTACCCCAGCTCTTGTATGCATAAATAAATAAATCTTAAAAAAAACATATTTCTCAATGATATTTAGTTATGAATCAGCAGTTCTTTAAAGTAAATAGCAGCCTAGGCAAATTTACAAGATAAACTCACTTAACCCAAACTTCAGAGCTTCACAAAAGCACGAAGTATTTTTAAAAATAGATAAACAAGACACATGGAGGTCCAGGCTTGAAAGTGTATCCTCTTCAAAAGACACTTCCCAGGGCCTCCCCTGGTGGCACAGTGGTTGAGCGCTGGGCTGTGTAGCTGCCCGCAGCCTCTGCAGCGCGGGTTCGATCCCCGGCCTCCTGCGAGGATACTACATGGCGCGCAGACCTCTCCTGCCGCGCCCACTGCTCCCCTCAGCAGTGTATTTTGTCAGTCTGCCTGTTCTGTTCTCCATTCTGGCTCTGGTGAATTCTCTCACCCTCCCGTGCTTCTGACTGTACCCAGTGCTTGTATAAATAAATAAATCTTTAAAAAAAAAAAAAAAAAGACTCTTCCCACTGAGGGAGATACTGTCAAGACTCAAACTACAGGATTCTACAACAAATGTGACAGATATCCCTTGAACTGAGGCAAGGGGGAAAAAATGATGATGATGAAACCAAGAGAGCAATCCCAAGACAGAATTATGTCATTAGGAAACAGCCTGACTCTAGTCTCTTGAGATGAATTTATAAAGGCACGGATGGAAACACTTCACATGACTTCACCTCCAGGAAAATGAAAAAAAGGGGAAAAGTAACTTCTCAATAATATCAGGCTCCCAAAACTGCTTGAATTCAACAAAAAATAAGTGAAAAACATCTGAGAGTTGGGAAGAGTATACCAGTAAAAGAAAGCTACAGCGTTTATAATGACATAGATGGGAACACATTTACACACTTTCAGGGCTCTCATATCACACACACATGTTGTTACCTAAGGTGGAGTTTTTCTAGCCCAGCATCTGCAAGGTCATCATTGGCCCTTTGATGAATGTCCCTCTGTGTTTCTATTTTGTGATCATCAGATAAACCATCAACTTTGTGAATAAAAACCTCAAAATTCATGTCTGGGTTAACTTTGTAGGCTTTAGAAACAGTAATGTGAAGTCTTGTTAAAGCCTCCATGTAGTCATCCTGTAAGTCAGAATAAGATATTTTTTAAAAAGGAATCTTACAGAAATAACAAGTTAAAAAAGCCTCAAATCACCTCTTCTCCCCAACCACAGAAAATATGTCATCTTAATTATTCACAAATATTCAAATACATTAACTTATATTAAATAGATCTTCACTCTCTTAAGAAAAAAAAATTCAATAACAAGTTAACCTTGCAATTTTTAAAACTTATAACATAAAGAGAAAAAGAAATGGACATTTCCACCCAAATTTTAAATAATGCCAGCTCTGCCATTTATTAGGTGTATAACTTAAGAAGGTTGCTTAAACTCTGTGATCTCAGTTTAGTCATCTGTGAAATTAGAATTATAGTACCTGCCTCACAGTACTGTAAAGATTAAAATAAATTAGATCATATATGTGAAAGCACTCATTACAGAGCATGTCACTCAGAATGCATTCCTAAGTAATGTTTAAGCTTATAGAGAGTAAGCCTCTTCAGGACAAGGACAAGCCCCATTCATGAGTGTCTACCACATACTAGGGCATCAATAAATACTTACGAGCTAAACTCAATTTGAACAATTAAGGAAACTATTCAGTTCAGTACATACTAGTTCAGGTGTCATACTCCTCACATTATGGGCATTGATGAGATCTTTTCAGTGCGTGACATTACCATTGTAATAGTTAATAGAGCAACATCTACTATTAATCACTAAAAGTGGAAAATTGCTCATTAACAAGGATGAAAACTACATCTGATACCCTCTACTTGCACAATGGCATGCCTGCTCCCAAAGCAGTCTGCAGCTGCATCTCTTCTATACTGCTAGGGAACCTACTGGCCAAGAAGTAAGCTATAAAAAGCACATGAGAAAGAAGATAAACAACTTTCCTTTTTCTACATCTTTGGCACCAGAGGAGAGAAGTAAACATCATTATTCTTAACTACCTGTGCATCAATGACATAAATCAATGCTCCCGTTCCCCTGAAGATCATCTCGTAGTCAAAAGTTGGGTCAAAAAAGTCCATTTGCCCAGGAAAATCCCATATCTGGAAGTTCACAAAGGAGCTATTGGAAATGTCATCTTTATAAATCTTGTTGGTACTTTCCAAAAAGAGGGTCTCGTTGGGTGACATTTTATGAAACACCACCTGTTAAAAGAAGATAATTTTATGACTATTCAACTTCAGTATTTAAAGTTCAAAATTCCAACCCGAATTAACATAAAGAATTTGATGCTACAGCAAAAAAAATAAAATAAAATAAAATAAAAGATAAACACAGAATGATGTATCCATTGGTACTCACTATTCTTTTACTTATTGAGCTAAACTCAATTTCTGCCAGAAAGAAGACAACATATTACTTTCCATTAAGCCTATTTTGGAGCTGAAACTTTCCTATTTCCTCTGAACTATATTTAGGACTAGTAGTAGCACTGCCTCTCATCTCCACTGATTCTTCTTCTATTAAATCGCATTAATTTAAGGCAGGGGTCCAGCTGGCTAAATCAACCTTAAGATTATAAGAGCTTATAGCTGAAGTTTAAGAAAATTTGTTCTTTGAAAAATTAGTGGAACACCTACTTCAGGTTCTGAGGAATAATCAGAGATTAACAAGTTTGCATTCTTGTCTAAGGACTAAAAGAAGGACAGTATGCTAAGAAGAAAAACGCTCAAAGGAGAGAGAGCACAGGTGAGTTGACAGGGGAAAGTCAGCTCCCCTGAGGAAAAAAATAGTAAAGACAATCAAAATAATCACAATCCGCACCATCCTAACATAAAACTAATTTGCCTCTCACTGTCACTTTCTAGAAGAGCAAAATGGATAGTTACTCCCAAGGTTTAGTCAGCGAGCAACAAGTGAAAAGAATTTAAATCAGTTTGCCAAAAACCCATCATAAATGAACTCCAGTTTTGCTGTAGAGGTGAAAAGCAAGATAAATAACACATAGTGCTCTAGTCTATCTGGCTACTTTTTAAAAACACTGTGTCTAAAAAATATCACAGATTTATGGTGGAGAGACCTTGGCAACAGAGTGGAAAGGGCCAAAGATGGATTATCTGGTGTTTCTTGACCAGCTCGCTCGCTGTGAGGGGGGTGGCTGGTGGGGATCAGCCTTGCCTCTAGCCCCCCCTCTTCCTAAAAAGCACACAGCCCTGCCCGCAAGCATTCCTGACAGACCCGAGCTAAAAGCCAATAAACTGCCTTAAGTCTGCAAAGAGTCTCAAGGTCTCAGGTGTTTGCAGCGACACCCCCGCCGGGGGATGCCCCAGCAGCGACGCTCCGCGGGCCACAGCCCCGAAGAGGGGGGTCAGCGCCCCGAGCCCAGGAGGCTGCGGGAGGGTGTCCTCGGGGCGGCAGCACGCGCGGCACCGCGCGCCAGCGGCTCCGTCACTCTCCTCCCGACGCGCCCGCGGCGGCCACCCCGAGCCCCGCGCGCCCCGCTCACCCCGAGCGCGAGCGGCACCTAGAAGCCGGCGGGGGGCGGGCCCGGGAGGTCCCCGAGTCCGAACCGGGGCGCCGCCTCGGCTTCGCAACCCCCAGGGGCCGGGGCCCGCAGGCGGGGGTCCCGGCGGTGCCGGGGCACCTGCCTCCCTCCGGCCACCTTCCCTCGCGGGCGGCGCGCGCGGGGGCGTGGGCCCGAGGCCGGTCCCCCGCGGGCCGGGCCGCCCCGGGAGCAGACGCCGCCCGGCCGCCGCCCTCCTCGGGCCGCCCCCGCGCGAGGCCCCCGCGCCCCGGGGGGAGGGGGAGGGGCCGGCGGGGGGGCGGGCCGGCGCCCCTCACCTTCTGGATGGAGGACTTGCCGCTGCGCCGCAGCCCCATGAGCAGAATCCGCGGCTTGGAGCTGTCCGCGCCCCCCGGGCCGCAGCCGCCGCCGGCCCCCGCCCCGACCCCGCCGCCCGCGGCCGCCGCCTCCTCCTCCTCCTCCTCCACGCCGTAGCCGAAGTCCTTGGGGAACGAGTCCGCCGTGCCATAGCTGCCGGCCAGGGGCGTCTCCTCCGCCCCGTACTGCAGGGACATGGCGCTCGCGCCGCCGCCGCCCGAGCCCTGACAGGCCAGGCCAGGCCGAGCCAGGCCGCCGCCTCCCGACTCCGCCGCCGCCGCCGCCGCCGCCGCGCGGCCCGCCCCCGGGGCCCGGCTCTCATAGGCTGGGCGCCGAGGCCCAGCCTCTCATTGGCCGCCCGCGCTGTCACTCAGAGCCGCAGGGGCGGGGGCGCCCGTCACGTGCCCGGAATCACCTGACTCGGAGCCGCGGAGGGGGGGGAGGAGTCACGAGGAGGCTGGCGCGGCCCGCGAGCCCTCTGCCCTCCGCCGCGGCCGCGCGCCGGCGCCCTCGCTTCCCGTGACTGCTGCGGAGCGCCGGAGGCCACCGCAGTGGGAGACGCTCTCCGGACGTGTGGGGGATGGAGCGATTGTCCTCATACTCCATCTGTGCTCGCCCGGCCAAAATTTATGGACGCCCGCGATGTCCGGGGGCACAAAACTGAAAGCGACTCGGACCCTGCCTGCCCTCGAGTTGCTCGAAGGTTACTGGCGATCGGAGTTCTGCGTAAGTACCCTCGGCACGAGATATTGAGTGGGGTGGTCGGAGGGACAGATAAAATGCTCGGGAGTTGGGGGAGAGAGTCTATAATGAGCGGACGTCTGAGTAGGTCTCGATGATGAATAGGGTTGGTGTATACAAAGGTATGGAGGAGGAACCAGTCGCACTGAAGGCAAAAAGCCTCAGTCAAGGGTGTGATACTCTTTTTTCTAGCAGGTAACTGGACCCTGATAGGGAAGCAAATACAACCAAACTAGAATAGCTTACTCTTCAGCAAGTCACTGACAGTGGGTGCTACTGCCACTTCAAACTCAACAGCACTCAATTTCCCCACTTTCCCTCTGTCAGTCGATTTCTCCACTAATTCCATCCCCGGCTCCCTAGAACATTGCATCTTCTATATCTTCTTCAAATCTGAGACTAAAGGAATGGATAATGAAACCAAGGCAAATGCTTGTCATTGAATATTTGAGAAAGGTAGAAAAATTTTCACACTTCACAGGCTCTACAATTGGAAATTTGACAAGAGGATCCTCCTCCTAAAGTGGGAATGGGGATGGCCCTGGTTAATTTTAGAGAAAACTAACTTCTTGATTATGAAGGGAAATCTTATTCATGCAGGTCTAGAATTTGGGTATGTCTGGATCTAGTCGTTAAAGGTAGGTAGTCCAGCCTCATAGAGAGAATCCACTCTACAGCATATCTGACAGACATGGCAGCATTACATTTAAATAGTTCAATAGGAGTAATCTTAATCTTTTCTACAACAGCCCCTTCAAATCTAGATCGGTCTTCATTACCCACGAAGCCACCTCTGTTCCACATTGAACCATCCTCAGTTCCTTCAACCGTTCCTTCTATGGCAATTACTAGTAGAATTTTCTGTGATGAAATATTTTACATCTGTGCTATTTACTGAAGTGGCCAATGTGGACTGAACACCTGAAATGTTGCTAGTGTGACTGAGGATCTGAATTTTTTATTGAATTGCCAGTCATGGCTAGTGGGTACCATATTAGACAGCAGAACCTTGTATTTTCAAATGCCCACTCCCCGTTGGCCACACTCCTTTACATGCAATTGAGCCTGTCAACATCCATTGGAGGCCTGGCACCTCCAATACAGCCTTCAGGATGACTGTTTAACGCCTGGACAGTGTTTCAATAAATGCCTTCCAGAATGGAATATTTAAAATATTCATACAGTATAGTGGCTCACTCTGATAATCACAGGAACTAGTATTTTGTTAACAATCATAAACTTGTATAACTGCATTTGTAACCTAAATATATTTATATTTCAGCCTATTGGTTTAGGCCTACATGTTTGGGTACTTACTCCAAGTTGCTAATCATTTTCAAGCTTGTTTCAATCTAGTCTACCTAGCTGCCCTTCCAACTTTGTGGCACTTACAGATCTTGCAGTACACTACCATATGTAGTACAATTTGCAAGGTACTTTTACATTATATTTATCAATAATGTGATCCTTACAACTACCTTGTGAGATAGGCAAGTTATAAAATCTACATTTCATAAATAGGGAAGCATAGCAGTAACTGAATGTGTGGGATCCTTTTTCTACTCAAGTAAGCATCTTCTTGGCCTCATCCAAATCCTTGAAATAAGTGTTGAGGAGGACCTCTGTAGGCCAGGCTGGCCGTGAATTCTTAAATGGCACTGACTGGTATAGCAAGTCAGTTACACTGAAAAGTGTAATTATCCAACCCACATGTTGCAATTCTGTCCCAAAGAAAGGTACAAGAGACAGTCACCTGACTTGTGTAAATATTAATACTAATTTCATTGGGGAAAAGCAAATGAGGATTTGCTGTCCCCCAAAATTTCTACTTGTCTGTATCCTGTCACATTAACTGGTTAAAGAAGCCAAGTCTCCTTTTTGCTCACAACCCCATGGAGCCATGTTTCATTATTCATATGGCTCTTAGCCCATCTATCCCACGTTGTAATCGCTTATATACATGTTATTGCTTAATAGCTAGTATTTATTCATAACATCCAGCACTTAGCCCACTGTTGTACACGTAATAGGCACTTAAACTGGTAAAAGATAAGCCAATTCAGGTGGTTGTTTGCCCAAAGTTTCTTCTACTCCCACCCCCAAAAAAAGTTGTAACTAGAGAGGCATAGACCATTATCACATTCCTGGCAACATGACTGATTAAAATGCCCTTATAATCAGCTTTCATTGGGTCATTTTGTTTTCTATGTGTGTTTTGATCACAAAATAAAGACTGGTTCTCTGACAATAGGTATAGAATACATGAAATAGGACTACTACTTAGTAATGTCCGTCAGTCAATAAATAAGTGACTAATAAAACAAAACATCTGACTGTAGATCTTCCAAGAAAAAAAGGACTAACAAACAAGAATATAGTGCTTTACCATTTACAGATCTTTCACATACATTCTCATTTGACCCTCACAACAACCCTGTGAGGTAGGCAGCACAGATATTATTCTTCTCATTTAACAGATGAGGAAAGTGAATCTCAGAGCAGTTAACTGATGTGCCCAAGGTTCTACGATTAGTAAATAATTTGTATTAATATCAGTCTTTGGCCTAAGAATTCAGCACCCAACCTCCCTCATTCTTGCCCTACCTACTTCACAGGGATAATGAAGATAAAATGAATTCAAGGCTAGAAAAATACTTTTGAGGGGGGAAAAGCACTATATAATTATACCCGCAAGCTATGATTTTCCACGATATATGGCTCATTCCCCTTCTTATCCCAGCTTGTGCGTTGAATCCAGAATTTTATATTGCCTCTGTTCTGTGCTCAACTAACTAAGGCAGGCAAGGGGAACAGTGTGATCCTGTTTAAAATTATATAAATTACAGAGTAACTGCAGTTATAGCAAATTGAAAAACAACACAGAAAGGCCAATGTGCAACTAAAGCCACTGAAGCACAGAGCAAAGCAAGGCAACATTATCGGATAGGGTGTGATTGCATAGAAGGAAAACGTGGTGTCAGAGTTCAAACTGGCACACACACAGTTATCTAAGGCAAAGTGGTGGCAAAGAAGAGTTATTTGTTCCGCGTTACATAAACGAGCAGAAGATTCGTGGGAACCCATGCAAAAGCATCTCATGTCACACAGATCTTTCCAGCTGCCTACAGAGAATATAAACAGTGTCATCTTCATATTAGAGAATGACTGTACCTGTGCTCATATCCTGAATTAAACCAAGGAATAAGCTCCCTGCTAAACTTCCTTGGTTAAGTACAACCAGCACCATCGTTCGTAGTCAGACTGATGAATGTCTTTTAAGGTAATGAATTAGATGGTTGTGTTCAGATTTTTTTTCAGGATTCGCTTTGGATTCTCCTGTTTTTAAGACCCAAAGAAAGTTATATTGAGTTTTTATTGGTGATTCTAAGTTTATGTGTTTTATAACAGTTAAAGTGTGATCGGTGAATTTAACATATTAAAAGAGTTCTATAGCATCTGTTTGAAAAGATTATATACTATACAAACTATTCAAGTCATACAAAACCATTTTTCAGTGTCTTTTCAACTGAGAAGAATCCTATTCAGCACGCTTCTCCTCCTGAGGTGGTTCATACTGAGCAAGCTATGGGGCAAAGACAGAGGAGTTTAGGTGAATTTTATTCTAAATTGACACAAAAGTTAACTATTATATTCATTTTAATTACCGAATAAGTATTAATAGCCTATCCTTTTTAAACCATTCAATAAGATTAAATACAATCAAATCTAATGAAAGCTTTTTTCATATAAACCTTTAAAAATTACTGAGAAACTAAAATGTGGTTCCAATTCATGACTGTTCAAATATTTGACATGCAGTAATCTAGATCTTCCCCATGATGTGGCTTATCATAAGCTACTTTCTTCCTCTCTACCAAAAGTTTACTGAACTTTCTCCTAAAATGTAGAAAAAAGAATTATGTGACATATATTCATCTAGCCAGTCACTGAAGAGCAGCTAATGTCTTTGACTTAAAAGATGCCACAGAGTTGGCCTTCACACTTTGTGGTTTATTGGATAATTTAAGATACTGTCTTTTCTCTATGCCAAGTTGTGGTTCTCTGCAAGTCACTAAGCAGTGATTTGAGTTGTTCCAAATAACTATTGGATTTGAGAAGCTAATTAGACTCCATTGTATTTTAATTTCCTTACCTATAAAATGATCTGTGTACCTGTCTCACTTATCTCAAAAAGTTGTTGAGAAGATAAAACACATTATGAGAAATGCCTAGTGTAATGTAAAATGCATTATGCAATTCAGAATGCGCTAAAACCTCAAAGGTAAGAGTTTATGAAAAATCTGACAGGAGTCTGAACTAAGAAAAAGCTTCAGTACTAAACAAAATTAAGTGCAAATAAATTTACTGAGCTACATTAACCCAGGGACACCACACACAACTATACAGATTGGGCACTGCACAGCTGACAAGTGCCATTCAAGAAGGGGGTGGCCGTAAGATTGACCTCCTTAAATCAGAACTGCTTAAGACTCCCAGAAATCTCCATTATTATAAGCAGCATTAACCAATATGCTCATCTTTTTTTG